AAAATACTTGGCAAATGAAAATAAATAACACAAGACCACGCATAAAACTAAAATAACAAATAAAATATTTTAATAACACATGAAATGCCTTTGGAATTTTTATTTTGAAAAAATAAGAAATAAAAATCAAAAATGTATGCGAAAATAAAATAACCCAATGAAACGCGTAAATGGATAGGGATATATAGTATATATATGCACATCCATCAGCACATATATAAATGAGAGTATATGTACACTCTTCATGGTTTCAAAAATTTATTAAAAATGTATGTCCTTTTGCTTTTATAGTGTCCCCATGAGCAGGCAACTGGAGTGCCTGCATGCATATGCACATATAAAGAGTCAACAAGTACTCGAATAAAATTGAATACTTGAGTTGCTGTCATAAGACATTTCATGGAATTTGAAGAGGGCTTCCACTCCAAAAATCAAATCAAAGCAAATAAATATATTTTATGCGAGTTTTTACAAATATAATAACATAAATATAAATGACATTAGCTACATACTAGCATGGTCAAGTTTTCATATACATACGAATATGAATTTTGAAATTTCAAATTTTTCACATGTTGTACATATAACAAGGAAACATGCCACAAAAGCAAATAAATCCTCGAGCTTTTAAAAAAAAACGTTTTTTTTAATATTAAAATAACTCCTCATATTTGTAAAGTTTGTATGATTCAAGACTTCGATAAGGTAAGAATAGTAAAAAAGTCAAACGAATTTATTGTTATATGATGCGTCCGAGATAATGATCGTAGAAACGATGCTGCTTATATCAGCAATACCATATACTCAGGCGTCTTTTACTTTTTCACAGCACTGGCACAAATGAAACGAAAAAGATAGAAAAGACAGTACATCTTTCTGCCGTCTTATTATTCGCAATAAAATTAAATTTAATCCGCGGCACGGTCGAAGAACATAATAGAGCTTTAACAAATATCAATAGCATAGGAGGGGAAGAAACAAATCGGTGGTAAGAACTATGCCAGTCAAGGAGAGAAATGGAAGAGAAATGCGGGAGTCCGAAAGAAAATCTTTGGTCTATTATTCAAAAATTTCGATTTATATGTTCCTTGTACAGGTTTATGTAAATTTTTTAATTCAAGAACTGTTTTTGTTTTATGAAAAAAATATTGGGTATCGGTTGACAAGAAATTAATTATTTACCATTTGAAAACTGATTTCATTTGTGTTCCAGATTATAAAGATATATTTGCGAAGTTTTTGGGAAAATACATAGTAGTAACAGAGACACAAAAAATGGTAATTTTGAAGAAGAAATATAAAAATGCAATCCTATAAAATCAGTCCCAAATATTAATTGTGCTCCGTTAATATTTTTCTAATTTCCAGTCGGTTGAATTCAAAAAGGGGTTTCAAGGGCAAGCATATTTAAAGCCTTTTAGTGTTATTCATATTTCTGGGCTAATAAGCAGCAATTCAACCAAACAAATCTTTAAAATTTTATTTTAAATGGGCTTAAAATAAAAATATAAAAAAATTAATAGAGGGAAACAAAGCGTAGAAATGCTTAGAATTTAACCAAAAAACAAAAAAAAAGAACAAAACTATAAAAACTCTTTTGGAAATCAAATATGCCCATATCTATTGAAGCATAAAAAGGAATCAAGCGAACACACACACATTGGCAAGTGAACAGACACCACAAAGATTGCAAAGTTTTAAAATCACATGGTATTGTAGGCGGTTCAATGAATGGAAAGTTGTCACGATTAAATAAAAAGAAAATTGAAAAAAAAGATTACAGCCATGACCAGAGATTTAGCGCACTAACTGAAAAAATTAAAATACCACTTAAGTTCACATAAATTTATAATAGGATTATTAAAAAAATACTGTCTTACATTTAGTAAGGGGAAAATTCTTAATACCAAGTAAACAAATCACTTCTTTTGATTTGTGGTTATTTGCGGAAGGTTATCCATTTTGCGGTTTGGAAAGTAAACATAAACTTAAGTTTTTTTCATGGATTTCTTTTTGTTGTAGAATGTCCAATATATTCTCCACCTAGACCCGTCTTTAACTCACGTATACGAGTATATCTTTCGATTGCTGTCTTTGTGACACCCTTCATTTTTTAAAGCTAAATCATACATTAATTTTTTTTCTTTGAGTTTTTCGTCTGTGTCTTCTATTTTATTTTCTGTGACTCAAATCTATCAATTCTAATATTTTTTTTTTATATTTTCGTAACACGAAATTCAAAATAGGTCATACCTATTTTTACGCTCCTACGCAAATAATTTATGTTTTTTTTTCATTTTATCCGGGATCAAAATTCTGTACTATATATAAAAGTAAGCCCTATCCCGAATCGGATTACGTGGCATCGGGTCATGCAGAAATATACGATGAAATCATCATGTTTCATCTTTTTCTCTACCCTTTTGGTTAACATTTTCTTTTCTGTAAGACCAATTTCAAAAATAAGTTATCACAAACGGACTAACAGAGTGATATGCGGTTTCTGTGAGACCAATCAATATTAAAAGAATTATCAAAAAAGAGGAAGTGCGCTAAACGTCGGTCTATGGCTGTATATGTCTGTGTAATTATATACGAAGAGTGGAAGAAATAATTATTTTTGTGTATGTAAGAACAGGTGTAGAAGCTCAATGAAACCTTCAATTGATGAGAAATCAAAAGCATTTAATGCTTTCATTTACCCACTGTAGGTATTGAAATGAAAGCGTTTAATTGTATCAATAATAAACATAGAAATCAAATGAAAGCTTCAATCAATTCATAGAAAGAATATTGACAACATAAAGAAAGGTGAAAAAAGAAGTAAAAAAAATTCATATCAAGCTGTTAATGGCTAATTGGAACGCAAATAAGTGCTTGTTGTAGTAAATTTTGTTTATGAATTAATTAAAATCCATGTGTACATATATAAATGTATATGTACATATGTAAATAAGAATGATTCAAAAATATTTTTCGAAAACAAATTCTGGGGACCTGTTGAAATTATTGGTCAACTCTACTGTGCATTTATTCCTTATGTAAACAAATAAATCAAAATGCATTGGCAGTTATACAAACACAAGCTTATGCGTATGTACGCGACCAGGTAGAGGCGTGTAAATATTCGCGTTTGAAATTTTTTTTACTTTTATTGAGATATTCTCCTCTTCCAACCGAAAAGTATTATATGCATAGCATGTCACATACACAAGTGTATACTTGTTGATAGTAGCAATTAATTTGGAATTTGTGAGTGAAATTTTTTCAAACATGTCGATACCAACTGATGTAATGGAATGCATGCAAATGTCACACGTAAAAATAAATAAAATAAAGTGAAAATACACCAAAACTCTGACATAAATAACGTTAAAATAAAAAGTAAAATATTAAGCACAAATAATATAATAGAAAATTCAATAAAATAAACAAAAAAAAATATATATAATGAAATGAAATATAAAACGAAATAAAATATAAAATATAATAAAATAGGAAATATAATTAAATAAAATAAAATAAAATAAAATAAAATAAAATAAAATAAAATAAAATAAAATAAAATAAAATAAAATAAAATAAAATAAAATAAAATAAAATAAAACAAAGAAATAAAGTAAAATAAAATAATATAAAATAAATACACGTATATAAAATGAAATAATATAAAATAAAACAAAGTAAAATGGAATAAAAAAATAAAACAAAATATAAAAATAATTTAAATGATATTAAAAAAATAAAATTAAATATAACAAAATAGCTTTAAAAGAAATACAAAATGAAGTAATTAAAGATGAAATATAATCTATTTATTGAAACTTAAAAAATATTAAAATAATAAAATTCTTCCTATTTAGACCTGGTGAAATTACAATTGTCCTCTCAACACAGGCGCACATTTATACAATTTTTATATACGTGCCAAAAATATGTATTTGAAAATTGAATTAAAATATGCGAGTTAAAAAATTATTAATTTTTAATACATTTCATTTATTTTAATTTTTTTATTTGAATAAGCCTACAACAATTTACATGAAAAACAGTCCCAAAATGGCAAAAAAATTGAGGAGAATAACCGCAATTAATGCGCTTGAACAATGAAATAATACCAAAGTTTTATTATTTCATTTCACTACTCTTCTGAAAGTCCTTGCACACATTCACAAGGAGCGAGACATTCACACAAATACTTTTGTTATGCAAACTTACCTCTTAGCTTCTATTTTTTTTGCGACAGTGCACAATCATAGCAAACAAATAACGGTAATTGTACGACCCTTTCAATTTCCGTTCGCCAATTATTTTCTCAAAAACTGAAAGCAAAAAACTGCCATTCATTGATTCATTTTCATTGAAAAATAAACAACTTAATTAAGTTTTTATAAATTTTCGATTAAATTCTTTTAAAATTTTGCATTTGTCTTTCTCTTTGATAGCTTTTACATTACCTTTGCATTTCTTTTCAAATAGTAATAATACAAAGAAACACGTTTTTCTTTCATATATTTTCACACTCTTTAAAATAAATAATCAGATATATATAAATAAATAAATAAATAAATTACTAACAATTAAAGAAATTAAAGCTAAAATGGTAGAAATGTAGCTATTTGCTTTTGATGTTAATAATTTTTTATAGATGCTGTTGGCTTTTGTCTTTGGATCCTCTTGTCGTAATGAAGCGTCGTGCGCAGAAAACTCTGACGTCGTGGTGTATAGCAGCGTCAGAAAAGTGAAGTGAAAAAATTTGCAACTCTTTTTTTCGAAAAACAATTAACATAAAATGTGAAAATCTTTCGCTACATAAATTATTGCTTTTTTTAATGCTGTTTGTCGTTGTTGACGCTTTTGCTTTGCAAAGTTTCCGACACACTGTGTTCTAAGCACATAAGTATAATTCCGTCACGTAAACTTTTGCACGTGCCGATTAGGTCGTAGCTGGTTAGAGGTGAGTCCTGGTTGATATTTTGTTCATTCTTCATTTTATACACTTCTTGCTTAGTTACGCCTTTGTTTAGGGACTTTCGTTTTCGTTTGCCTATTCGTTTTTTGTTATCTATTTTTGGTTTAATTATTAAAAATTTCTACTTTCTCCTTTAGCTTCTTTCATTTTTGGTTTATACATATGTGCAATGCAAAAGCACCTACTTATATGTATGTGTGTATATAATACCATTGTCTTATGCATAAGCATTGTAGGCCAAACTTTGTGCTTCCTCATTTAGTTGGTAAGCCGGGTTAACGACGGCGGCCGGAACAGCGCCAACAGATCGGCCATCCCATGGACCGTGGGCGGTAATGTGGGCAGAATGGTGTTCAGCGGCGATCTAGAAATGTGCAAAGAGAGAGAGAAAGAGAGGGTGGTAGAGGGAAAATATAAAAAAGATTGGTATGCTTATTCATAAAAAAAAATAATTTAATTTATTTTTTATTTTTTCTGAGTTACACGCGCACATAGTGAAAAGAGCAAGAAACAAATGTGTATTTTGGATATTTATGTTCATTCGAAAGTCAATTGTTTGTTTGTGAAAACCTTAAATATCAAGGGAAGCACGAAAGGTAAACGTATATACAAACAAACTTATATACAAGTACGCATATGGACGTTGGAGAAGAAATGAGGTATACATATATTTATAAAAATTATAATTATGTATATCTATAAGTGTACTTAATACTACAGAAATACACAAGGAAGTTCTGTTGGTGTGTATGCGTTTTCAAAAATTTACCTTGAATATGTGGGTTTGAGGTTTTATAAACATTACAAACGCAATCATATTATTTTTACTTATGAAAAACATTCAAGTTTGTTTTTGCGTTTATGAGAATTATATGGTAGGGAATTGATTTTGAAGTTTAGTAAGAAGCAATTTATAGCCAACACCTACATACATACTTTACAGTGGACAGAGGAGGTGCGCAGAAGGTTATATTTAAGGAACAGAAAAGAACTACAAGCGACATACTCGTTTTTGCCTCTTCACTATAGCCAATTTTGGCACTAACGCTTCCGCTGGTACATTTGGCATTGAGACGACCAACGCCACAGAGGTGTTCTGGTGGGGTAAATGAAAACAAGAACAGGTGAAAAGTTATTGTAAATTGAAAATTCGAACTGAATTACCCTACTACTTTCTTCCTATTTTTTTTTGTTTCGAAAATATAATTGATTGAAAAATAAAAATTTAAGAAAGAATAACTATAAATTGCATAACAAAATATTTGGAAACTTTAGACTTCTGTGCTAGATAATTTTCAATTCAAATTGTCATGGCAACTTCCCTTTGGCATACATATAATCTATGGTACGAGAGTAACAAAGCTACGTTACTGCGTTATGCTTTTCAATTGAATATTTGTAAATGAGGAATGAGAGAATAGAATGGTGGTTGCCTGAAACGGCATAATTCTCTTTCAGAGTCTGGCCTTGAAGATTTTGGTCAAAGGAAAGTCATTTATAGCAGTTAGATACTTTAAAAATATTTCGAGCTAGGCCTAAAAGGTCTGCAGAGATTTAAAGATGAATTCTTTCAATTGACGTTTGTCCATAATTGAAACCAATAGAAGATTTAATATATTAGTGTCAGATGAATATCGATTTAGATTAGAGACTTGTTCTGTGAGAACAAGATTCTTCATTACGCTAATGCTGAATGTGTGATCAAAGATTTTATTACTTTATAGTTGGTTATAATACCTTTATAGTGATGGTCGTGCGATATTAGTCGATAATTAATAAATCTATATCAATTTTTATTGAACTCAAATGACTTTTTGGATAGATATTGGAATTTCGAATTTGTAATTAGTTGGATTGTACACTATGAGGCTTAATAGTCTTTTTAACTTTTTTGCCAAATTTTTTTTTGAAACACGTAAAGCGATTCATACTGTTGTACTAAAAATATTATCATTCATATCATATGAGACAATTTGGACTATTGAATAAAAAAAAACAATAAAAAATAAAGAAATAAAATAAAAAAGAGTGCGAATAGAAGATTACAGAAAAACTTATATACCTATAAGCAAAACAAAAAAAAAAAAAAATAATAATGCACAAACTTCGTTTCCTATTTTAGTTTTAAAATTTTTCTTTAACTTGAAACAATTTTCAGGTATTCTAAGGTTAATTCACTCAGCATTGTAAGATCAAGGATGTGGAGTAATTTATTTACAAACACCATTTGGGGGCGATGCTTATGGATACCAATTATTTGTTGGAGTTTACTTTTTTTAAGATGGGTCTTGGGGTAGATTGTAGAAAAACAACTTACCCAAAATAAACATTACAACTTAGCGTAAGGCTTTCTCTGTCCACTAATTGTCGCTACAACATCTTTAGCATATTTTAAAATAGGATAAATAAATATTTTTTGTTTTTGAATTTCTTTTTTCGCCTGATTTTATGGCAGTACCACGGGCCTATGTACACTTAACAGCCCACGACAGCCTAGAAGCGTAGATAAAAAAAGAAAAAGAATAAATAATTAGACTTACCTTCTTGCACAATTGGAAAATGGCCAAACCAACCGATACAATGAACGAGAAGAAGCCCAACGCCAACGCATTAAATGCCTTAATCTTCAATATACCAATTGCCATTGGAATCACAGTCATCGCCTTCAATAGGATCAATACCATCAATGGCATAATCATTTTACGCAAACGATGTTTCTTGCCTATATCCATATAAATGTACGAATATACGTGCCACGTATGTATGCGTGTGTTTGAGTGTGTGTTGAGTTACGAGTTCGTTTGTGATAAGTAGTGATAGTGGTAGTTGGAGAAGGAAACAATAGAGAACGAGAAAGATAAAGAAATTAATTATTTAGATTTTTTCATTTTTGTGTTCCAGTGTCAGTGTAGACAAAAAAACGCATGCAAATACAAACACACACCCTTCTTGAAGAAGTTGCCCTTCTTACCCTTGCCCTCAACTACACCATCATCACCGGCCAATTTCACATTAAGGCTCAACTCATCGTTGGCCAAATTGCGTGATGAGACGGTGACCTTGGCATCACCCAAAGGCAAGTCCATGGTAATATCGTGTCCCTGCAGATAATCACCAACAGCATCGAATAGATCACGTTCTTCTTCTGCGTTATTGGAGCGTGCGCTAGTGGCATCAACGGCTGCGGGCTGATAACCGTTAGAGTGTACCTCAACATCGCCAAGCTATTGGTGAAGGATGGAGAGTTGTTAAAAATTAAATATAATTCTTTGACTTTTAAAATATAAAATATGTATCAAACTAGAATAAATTTATCTTTTATTGATTTTCATTCTACTTTTACTTAATACGTTATAATTTTTCAAATTTATTTCACTCACTTTATAATTATCATTATTGATCACTGTATCGAGGAAGCGCATTGCGCGCACTTTGATGCAAGCCATCGAATCTTCACCACTCTCACACTTGGCATTCTCTTCGGCGATCATGCCCTGCATATTTGTTGGCCGTACTACTCTCGCTGCATTCGCCATAGAGGCGAAACCTAATAACGCCACGAGGACCAAATACCGCATTGAAGCCATAGTTTATTAAAAATATATATGCGTATATATGTGTGTGTGTGTGTAAAATTCCTTTGCTTTGATCCGCTCAAGTCGTGTGCGACCTCCACCAATTACTCTACGCTTACTCGCCTCGTTGAAGGAACAATTGCGAATAATAATCGTTTTTCTATTGTTCACGATTTTTATACTGTGCATACTTTAGCTGCATGAACCACAAAAAAGTTAAATTGACAAACCAAACACAAAAAACCAATAACAAAAACAGTAATAATAATCTACCAATTGAAGCGTCGCATTGAAGAAATGGCGGAAGAAGACATAAAAGCCAAAAACCAGTTGACAGACGTTGCCGGCCGCGTCAGCGATCACTCACATAAACACAAGCGCACTTGTCCGTTTAGCTTTAAAACTGCTTATATGTAATTTTGTATAGCCACAACGCAAGCAGTGAAAAATAAAACTTTTAGACTATACAACTGCATACTGCATGCAGCGCCGTATTGGCTTAACGTACATACGTACGTGCATGCGTTGGCGTATGAGTAACTTTTTTCTTCACAATTGGCTCTCTATTGAATTTTTTTTATAAATGAATTCATTCATGTTTTAAAATTAAATTTTTATGCCATTCACGCGCCCTAATGATGTGTTCGCAATTGGCAGCGATTCTTGATTCGTGTTCTCCATGGATATAACACTGATGTCGACAAGATAACTTATACAAGTATGCAGTTGTTTTACCAATTTGTAGCCACGTTTATGGTGTTCAACTTATTATTAATTAATTGTTTATTAATTATAAATTAATAAGCAAGATAATTAAGCATTTTTCCTTTGAATAAATTAATATATAATTTCAAAAATATGTAATTTAGATACGTAGGTGAGAGCAGATACCACGAATAATTTGCTCCGACCCTACACCTACCTTTCCATCCATTGTGGGAGACACGAATAATATTACTTTGGTTGTTGTTATTATTTACTAGCTCCGCAACATCAGTCATCCACCGAAATGTCAAAGAAATTTCGCCGAGTCAGGACCAGGCGGAAAGGAGGATTAAATGAATGGGTTCTAGGTTATGTGCAGTTTGTATAGTTTGGAGCTTAGTCGATTACAATATCCTGATCTTACTTGTACCAGTACGAATAATTTACTCTGGTGCTACGCCTCCTGCTCCATCCAATTATACTCTCTTTTTAACTTTATTAGATCATTACTTTTAATCTTTGCCATATACCAAAGGCTATTCATAAAAGTGAATTCAAAATACTGAGACCTATAACTTTTAAGGACCGGGTAATTTCACAAGAGATGGAAAGTTCCTCCTCATTTTTCCTACTGCTCCCATAGCCTTTCTCCAAGCCCATCTCTAAGGAAATCTCTCCTCAGAACAGCAATTACCTTTGAGATGTTCTCGTTTTCAGTGCAAATAAACCATTCGACCTTATCTGGTGCCAACTTGTACAAATCTGCTTCGACTTGAGACGGTTCAAGTTTTAAAATATTCCTTTAGTTGAAGTTTGTCCTTGGCTAGAGGCATACCAATGCCAAGCCAGTGCGGTTACCTTGCATTTCCCCTCTACGCCTCTGTGACCAGAGACTAAATGTGAGGGATAGTCTATACCATTCCATGATGTTCTAAAAAGACAATTCAGTACGCAGACTGGTACGATTATAGAGTTTGTCGTCATCGAGCCCAGAACTTTTATTGCTGTTTGAATATCAATAAAGATGAATACATATATTTTTTTCTTAGCGTATGCTTCCAATGTGTTTAACTGCCTACATGACAACAGCGGTTTCTGAGTGAAATACATTGCAATGATCTGCTAGTTCCACTCAAAGGTTACTTGAAAAAATATCTCCTCCTACTCTACAATCAATTTTTGAACCATTTATATTGACTTCAATACTCCCTGTGGGAGAATCATACAGGTTTGCTCATACGTCTCCGTAGAGTTGGAGCAGATATCCAAAGTCGAAATGCGGCGTTTTGTACTACTTGGTAAACAAATAATAATAAATTCTCTATTATGTTTGAGTTTACTGTTGGTTGATAACTCCACAGTTTCTACACGTATTTTCTTAAATGAAGAACCGGCAGGATACCATCTGTTGTGCTGCAAATTTTATAGGCATGTAGTGAAGGACTACTGCTTATTAGAATTTGCATTGTAAATGTATGTAAAAAGTTCATTGTATGAAAATTTCTAACGTTTGTGATAGCAATGGTTTAGGAAGAACAAAAAATCATCATGATGACTGTTACCCATAGGAGCAATCCCTAATCCTAAGAATTTTCAAAAATCAGAAAAGACAAAATCCGACTAAACAAAACACGGATGAGTATGAGTGGTTTGCTTGTATCAGTTCACAGAACGTACTAAAAATCAGCCTAAAATTTAAGGCACTAAAATCTAGAACAAGGTATTTGGTTATATATATTTCTAAAGACACTCAGTTATGTGGTGAAAATCGGATAAAATTTCCTTGGTGGGACATATTTCTTGCTCTTACATATCTGCTCTTTTTCTGCTCTTTTATGAACCGATACGAAACGATTTTCGGCCGAGCTTCTCCTCCACTTCGTGGTTTTGCGTGTGGATGTTTTTCCAACCAATAGATATCGGACCGTTTATGAGGAGCCAAAATTTCTTGTCAGAAATACAATCGTAGGGGTTGACATTCCCTGCCGAGAGGCGACCGCAATTAGAAAATTTAGCTTAATATTTAAATTTTATAATACTTTTGGACGTTGGATTTGAATCCGAGCCTTCCGAATGGCAATACGTAATCCTAACCACTCAGCTGAGAAGCCGCAATTAGTTTTTCCTCATATATTCAAAAAGAAAAAATATATATAAATAAATTTTCGCTTCTCTCAGATTTTTAATGGTTTCCAAGAAGAAATAAAATGCATATAATTTAATGTTATGACCAAAAATTTAGCTTTATTATAAAGATAAGGCTTTGATATTGTGTTTTACAAAGGATTTCAGGTAAGTGACGGCTACGGCTGGTTCGAATAAATTCAGACTAAAATGCCTAAACAAGGGACTTCAAATAATCGCACCAAAATTAGTACTGCAGTGTTATTTGGATCTTGAAATCCATTCTACAAGCCCACGAAGGGTTATAATGCGCTAATCAAAAGTTTTCTTCAGTAAATAGAATATTTCGTTTAGTGTATGGCATGTAACACCGTCCTATCGTCCACAGCAATAATCTCTAATTCGGGCATGAAAAGGTCATTAATCCTGGGTCTATAACGTTCCCCACTGACTGCTACACTATGGCCAGCTACATTTTTGAGTAATTCTCACACGGTCGAACCCTTTGCCTATATAACACACTAAACAATGACTTTTTGAGGTGATTGTAATGGCGTGTCAACAACGCCTTGTGCGCTCTCCGCACTGCAACGGTGACAAGGAGGAATTTTGTATCCGTTCGTCCAAAAGTGAGCTACATCGTTGAATAAATTTTTCTTGTGAAAATCATAATCGGTTGACATCTCGTTTTACGAACATCTAGCGAAGGTGCGACGTAGATACTTAATGGTCGTAGAGGTTCAATTCTTGTACAAGCTCGATTTAGTAAGAACGCTAACCAAGAATCTTCCACAAAAACTACCATAAAGTGGCGAGTTTTTAATCGACTTATTTGGATGTTCTTCGATACTCTTCTTCACAGCAGCAAAAGCGTCTTCGGTGCATACTATTCGGCAGTAAGTAAACGTATAGCGAAACCATAGTTGCTCGAATAATCGAATAACGGAGTAAGTCTGAGTTATGAAATGGCAAACTAAATTGAATATAAATCAAATAAAAGACCAATTTCGAAAAAAGTATAATAGCTTCATTGAAAACCATACGTTTAAAAAACCATGAGTAGATCGAAATTTTTCTGTGAGATTCTCATTCAAAAAGATTGTTTTCTATAAGCTTTTTCTTTAGTTTTTGATCTGACTGTAATTTCGATTTTAACTAATTTAAAGTTAATTTAAATGCTGAACAATTTAAAGTTAGTTCTTAGAGGTGCAGCAAATATGTTAAAAAATTAAAGTGCATGGTTTCGAAATTTTTTTATTTTCCAACCAAATTTTGATATAATCGGAAAGGTAGTTAGAAAGATAATTTCTTGCAGGTGGTAAAAATATTTCAATGCCAAGGTCACTTTTTTTCAGGATTAATAAGTAATAAATTAAAATCATTTGTTATTAAGAAGGTAGTTTTTTGGAGAAAAATTATAGAGCTTACCAGGAAATAATACTAATAAGTAATACTTTTTATTCTTCTACTTCTTGAGAAAATCATGCCCGAAATTTAAATGATTTAAAATTAAACTTCAATTCAAATCTAACGTTCGCTTACTAAAATCATAGCATTTTAAAGTAAAAAAAAAAAAAAAATATTAATAAAATTTTATTATAAACTCATAAATAAATATATATATATATGTAACTTGATTTGACGTAACAAATTACGTAGCGATAATTATGCAATAAGCGCAAACGCAACTGTCGCAAGCGATTACTTACACGCTTGCGATCATAGTGAATTGAAGAATTTCCGACAGAAAATTAAGTAATCTACGGGTGATTTTGAAAAGTCAAAGCGACAGCCAAAAGTAATAAGTCAATCAGAATTTGTCACATACTCAAGCCGGCGTAACCGAGCTCAAGCGGTCAAGTGAAACTAATGTGAAAATTGGACAATTTCAAATAAACATCGGTCTACCATTCGGACTCGAGTGCTATTTAAAATTTATAACTTTACTTATTTTTTTGAGCAATTTCCGAGAAACCAAACAGATATTGAGTAAAAAGCAATGAAATAGAAAGTGTTTACCAAAAATAGTAGATACAGTAATGTAATGAAATAAAATTATATAAAATGGCAACAAATATAAAAAGTAATAAAAATTACTAGCAAATACGTTTTACGCATGCATATGTGTGTGTGTGTGAGTGCTTGTTCGTGGAATAACAACTAAATTAAATTGCAAATGCGAGTAAAGTGCTGTCACGAAACGGTACATAATTCGTAAATGAAAGTGAAATTGAAAATGATTTCAATATAAAATGCTCGTCGAAAAGTCACGAAATTGATTAGAAATTCAAAATGTATATCACAAGTAAAGATAATCACCAAACAACCAACGGGCAACCA